ACAATACGTGCAGAGCTCTATAATCAAATTCGAAGAACTATAAATACGTAACATGGATATTGCATCCACTGCCTGATTTAGTTGTAGGATATTTTTAACCTATGTTGAATTGTGACGTTACTTTTTATGCGATTGTCATGATCTTTGAATAAGATCTTGCATTTATCGATTCTTATAGCTTCAGCTATAATGAAACTCATGATAGATATAATTGGCTGGGCAGTAACCCTACATGCAAAAATTAATTAAAAACGGGCGTAAAAGAAATAATAATTAGTACACGAGATGTTGATAAACTTCCAAACTTATTTTTCTCGTTAACGAAGCCTTAAAAGAAAAACTTAAAAGAAACAAATTTTTTTTCAGTTATTTTTAAGAATTTATATATTTTTTATATATTATGTGTATATTTATATATGAACAAAAAATAATTTTGTTTCCAGTTTTTTTAAATTTTAAAGGAGATTTGAATTGTACATGTAATTTTGCCAATTCCTCTATGTTTTATTTTATTTTTGAAAAAAATTCACATAAAATCCTGCATAAATATTTCTTTGGATTACCGTATGTTGCTTCGTAATTGAATTGCAATTTAATTAATTAAATTATAAAAATTATCTCGAAATTACACATGATGTTGATTTATTGAAATATTGAAAAGTCAATGGAAATTATTAGTCACGATTTGTTGACGGTTTAAGCTCACGAAAATTTATTAATATTTCGTAGACGATACGCGATTAAAATTTTACTTGGTGTGAGAAGCAGTGTAATTGAGTTTAAATTTGTTTCGGAAAATTTTCGGATATTTTAATTCTCTTAAAATGATGAATGCAGAAAAGAGCGCATTTTATATTCTCTGATAACGTGTATTTACATATTTCACTCAATCGGAATACCTGTTGCAATCTTTAAATCTGTGATGCTTAAAACCTAAACATGTATAAGGTCTCTTTGTGCTTGGATTATGCAGAGTATATCAAAAACTATAATAACTGTATTGAGCATTTTTGGAGCAGTGGAGATCTGTTCAAAAATATTCATAAAAAATAATGTATTTTTTTTTCGAAATTCCTATGACATTTAACGATGAGTAATTTCCATTTAAATAAAAATTTACTTTTACTTGACAATTTTATGCAAAAAGAATTTTCAAATTACTATATAAATTACTATAATTTTAGACCGAAAATTTAAATTCCTCATTATGGTTCCTTTCAGATATTTTTTCTTCATTGTAAGTGGAACACCATACATACGAGCATAAAAATTTCGTCCTTGAAAAACATGGTCGATAATTTTGCAGCAAATTTTTCTTTAACAAACTTCCGTCTATCCAAAAGCGTAGATTCGGTTATAATTATTTTTGCACCATCTTTTTACGCTCTGTACATAATAGTTTCCAATATGAAATAGTCAATCCATTTTTTTTAACTGTCTCTTTTGCATTTTTATGAAAAATATTGCATAATTGATTCGAAGATGTTGCGTGCTCATAAATTGTTATATTAAAGTACAGCGTGGATGCCAAAATGACACTGTTAAAGTTGCCAGCACTCACAGTCGGCTGCAGTTTGTAGCTGTAAGGCATTTAACGCCGAGTAGTAAAACGAAAATTTATTGACCTTGCATTTCAGTTTAGTTCATTACCTACCACTTACTACCAATTTACTACCACTAAATTCTAATCAATATCACAGAGATTTATAAGGACTTTTATATTTTCCTTGAATCACTGTTGTCATTACCCAGCAACAAAAAGAACCATTCAAAATTAACATCTTATAGCATTGATGCTTGATCGCTGTATCTCTTCCTGAACATCTCGAATTACTGTTTCGAAAATCAAGCCATTTGCACTTTTAGACTCGACTGATTTTACGACTTCGGTATATCATCCAGAGTAACCATAGATTGAACATCTTTTAATCACTACTACTCTGTATAAGTTTATTTTATACAGCTATTTTAGAACTTGGGCGGATTCTTAATTATTTATTTATTGATTTATTTCTTGGAACCCGGATTTCAATTTACAATACGGGTTCTAGCAAGAAGGCAACGTTGAAAAAATACAAGTCGGCGGAGAGGAAAAAACTAAAACTGAAACTGAAAACTGACACTAAACCGAACTGACCTTTCGCAAATTTTGTGGGTGCTTATATAATGTTAGTTTTTGGTGGTGTGAAGATGACCATTGGCCCTTAGCGAAAGTGGGAGTGAGTTAATTGTTTTTGGACTGTGAAATTGGCTTGCGTTTATCAGCCTTCTAGTGACTAAGGGCTGACAAATCCTTAATTATCCAATCATATTAATCTCGAGCTTACGTTGGTTTATTACGTTTATTGCCCGAACTTGAGCTTAAGTTAAGGAAATATAGTATGTCGCTTAAACTACTTTCAGCAAATGAATAAGTTGGTGGAATTGATATTAGATATTGAGTTGTAAGATTGGGAAAATTCACCAGTATTTTTCTAACCTTTATTTTCTTCCTGTAGGTGGTAATCATTGAAATGAATGGTATATGTAAAATATAATGTGTGTTTATATCTATATTCATATATTATATGTGTAATATATTAATTTTATATATTTTATATTTAATATATCCATTTTATACAAAATATGTATATAATATAATCATTTTAAATATCTTTATATTTATAAATTTCTAAATATATATATAAATGTGTCTCTAATAGTGTAATAAAAAGTAACATTCACTCTCGTCTACATATTTTTATATTCTGTACTATATTCTTGACTGACCAGCTCAAAAAAAAAAAAAGAAAAAGAAAAAAGAAAACGAAAAGAAATCAAATGTTGATTGATCTGACTGGACTGTCGTTACGATCCTTTTTCTTCGCCACTCGCCTGACATCTGGCGGTATGTGGCCTCATCTGCACTCGTGTACAGATGCACTATTATTCTTATAGGAACGTGGGTTCTTCCAAAGGTTTTGAAATATCTTATTTTCGTAATTACTAAAAATATATTTTTATTTTTGACAAAATGAACGTTAATTTTTATTTACACCAAAATTTAATTATTTTCATCATATCGCTATGGAAACTATAATTTATGTATGGCATATTCAACTACTTATTACAAGTTGGTAGTTTTATTGTCAAATAAATATTTGAAAATAAAAACTCGAACAATTCTAAACAAATCATTTAAAATAATAAAATTATTTGTTACTTCCAGCTGTTCATATGTTTTTAATTACTTATGTTTTGTTGTTATAATTTGTTGGTCCTTATATAACAAAAACTTAAATAAATTTTCAGGTAATTTATTCTAAATTAGAATGCGACACAATAAAAAAAAAATTTTATTTTTTGATCTTGATTTAACCAATTAAGTTTTGCAGCACCTTGTTTACATTGTCTTCCACCAAATCAACGATATAGAAAATATAACCTAGCATAGTCCTGACATTTATTTTCATAACACTTTGTACAGATTTATATAAACTTCCTTATGTAAACTTCAAAAATAATTATTTCGTTTCTTAACTTTTCTTGATGAATGTATGCATATACTTTTCCAATGAGAATGTATTAAGTCAAAGAAGATAAGAAATTGTTTAAAAATATAGGTACAGTATTACAAATATTCCTCGGTAAACATCATACTTCTACAACACGATTCGGAAATTGGTGAAAAACCCCTAGAAAATGTTTAATTTAAACAATATTTTTCATTCATGCAAACATGTGTTTCGTCTCAGATTTCAGAATAATCAATTTTTAATTCAATTTTCATTCATGTAGTTAACCCTCTGCTCCTAAAAGTCTTTCATTGCAGTGAAGTAACAACAAAAGTTTTTCTAATAAAAAGTCAATGAAATTTTTTAAAACTAACAAAAATCGTACATAAATTTATGATTAGTTCTACTTTGCTATTTCAATACTTCGTGTATATAATACGCGTGTATGTAAATCATTAAATTTCGTATATCATTATATTAAGCATAAAATTTTATAATTTTTACATGAGATTTTGCAAAATATTATACCAAAAAAACACTAGATAATATTAATGCATAATAGTTTTAATTTATTTCTCATTATTCTAAGATAGTTCTTACCAAACTATACTAATTAAATAAAAACTCGGTAATAAATGACGCGTACAAAAGAGATAGAACAAAATGCAGATTATTGTAATTATTTTAACACCGTTTATGGTAATCTAATAAAATTAAACGTTTATATAAGTAATTTCAATGCGAAAATAAGGTATGCAATTGACTAATCTAATTAATAGAAACTAACGAATTGAAAATATTGTCGGCGAGTGAATATGAATAGAACATATCTAAAAATAAGTAAAAACATAAATGTAAGATTATATAAGACAGCAATACACATTAGCTGCTGTATGAAATTTATGAAAAATTTTCCAAAGAAATTTCCTTTTCCATTAGCAATCACGAAAAACAAACGAAGTCTGGTCAGATTTTTATATTCAAAAATTTATATATTTAATTCATAACATTTTGACATAATTTCGCAACAATTTTGTAAATAGTAAATTTAAAAAAGAATTTTTAAATTGTAAATTTTGCAAAAAAGTAAAAGATATATATTACTATGTTAAATTAAATAAACTTTTATTCCAAGTTTCTTGATAATTGCATGATAAATCGATTCCAAATTTTACACAAGGATTTCTTATAATGTAAACTAATTTTACTAAAAATTTTTGAGTTTTGACGTTTGGATAAAAACTACCTTAATAAACTTAATTAACCATTACCTCGTTACTCAAATTATTCATTAATTTCGTTCATTTTTCTACCAGTCCTTTATTCCGTATAAATTAAATTCGCATGACACGCCATCTTGTTGAAACCTAACCTATAAGAGACAACATATGCTGGTAATTCATCGAAAGAAATTTCTGTTTCCTCATCCACTGTCAATGTAATGTCACATTTTATCAAAAAATTCTCGAGGGACCATATTAAATGGATAATTTTCTGTTTTTTTAGGCAATATACGACATGCTCGGAGCATGCTCGAGCAACAGACCGGCAGATAGCGCAGAAGAGAGAGCGAAGAACATTTTCGCAAGAATGGACGAAAATAATGACGGTCAACTTACCGAGGAGGAATTTTTGAAAGGTTGCCTTCAAGACGAGGAACTTTCAAAAATGCTGGCCCCTTAATTCCCGTGTTTCATTTCGGGATCGATTACGAATAGTACACTATTGTCAAAAAACGTTCGTAAAATACCAACCGACCGAGCAACAGCGATGAAAGCAATTTCAGATACATTTGTCTTTCATATGAATCGTTCTTGTTATAAAATTATGCACACATATACAGACGCGCGTATGCGTGCGCGCGCACACACATGCATACACGCACAAACACACGAACACACTACGTCATTGCAATGGTTAATACGAAAACTTAATAGAACGCCTATAATTCCCAGATGCTATTGGCAAGAACAATAACCAAAATCGTTGTCTTTCTACGCTCTAATTTCGAGTCGAGTTACCGAATAATTTCCGACAGATTCGTCGACCGATTATTCTTTCACCAATCGGATTTAAGTGCTGTGAATGCGAGAAGAATCCATCTCTAATTTGAATTTACCATCCGTGAAACGAAGAAACTCGTACGTTGACTACTTGGAAAGTATCTCTAGCATTAAAGGTCTGAAAAAAAAAAAAAAAAAAATATTCAACTTCTCAACAAAAGCTTAGACTGTGAAGAGGACAACATCGGCAAGCAACGCTTCGCGATTATGACCATTCTAACATTTCTAGAGCTGCAATTTCGTTGTCGGATGTAATGAGATTTCGATGAGATAACATCGAGCAGTTTAACCGATGCTTCCGCGGCGAGTACCGTAAAATTGACGTTTAAGGTGAACGTTGATCGCTAGACGTAAATTGACAGGATTTTTCCAAGTTTCGAGATCGAACAGTCGCTTTCCCTTTAAATTTGAACAACGACGACAAAGTGCTAGGACATTTCGTGAGTGATGGTAACACAACGAATTGCAAGAGGGTACTGTCGAATAGGTAGGACAAATTTTCGATCGAGGAATGCAGTTTTATATTGCACGATATACTTCAAATGGTACATTTGACAGCCAAAAAGGTACGTCGCATCAACTAGTTAACCGATTAACTTTTTCATTCGACTATGTCTCGATTTATCCATCTCGGCTTACCTATCTGTAGGTTGTCCGGCAGTGAAGAAAAGATTTTCTCGAGTGATTCTACGTTATAAAGTACGATGAAATTTACAAATCGTATTTGTCACTTTCTTTTTTAGGTATAAACGTTCAATGGATCGACCAGAAGTGCCTGATGCTCAGCTATTCGACAAACATCGACGATCGTAAGGCAGGTCAGTATACGAGATGGATAGAAAGTCGTTCAGAAATAATACTGCAGAGCTATCGAGCAATCATGTTCAAGATACGATCAATTTGTAAAGTATGTTAATCCTGTTATTCGTGTTTTAAATAAACAAAAATATGTCAAAATTTGCATACGATACATCCAAGCTTCAAAAATTAACGTCTTTTTTAGCGTATAAATCTATTTAGGTGAACAATTCGCATTTTGACAGGGATTGTACACAAGCAAAGTTACACTGACCACAAGTGACCACAAATGGAACCGAGGAAATTTATATGCATGATTATTACGACTATTAACCTTGGCATAATTCAACGAGGACACTTGTAATTGAATACTTACAGTTGTACTCGTATCACTACTTGCATTAAGAAAAATCTCACACTAAAATCGCTGCACGTTAATAGGCAAATTTGCATCTCTGTAAAGAATTTAGTAGGCCTCGGATTAACACAGTGTTTTACTTCCAGCTTGCATTAGTCATAATGTATCCCCAAAACGATCTTTTTATCGCATTAATTGGCAAATAAAATGAATCTTCTTGTAAAAAAATCTGAGCTATATTATCAGTGGATAGGTAAGGTCCCCCTGATGAAAAGAAGCCTAACTTTGCCTTAAGTAGACTGTCCTTTTGCTTTCAGCTTTTTTGAGGACATTCCGATTTATGGGTCAACAAACCTCTTGTATAAAATAGTTCATACAAGGATGTGATTGGATTTGTTTTCATCGATTAAATCGCAGCTATTTATTGGTAATATTGTCGTGAATATGTGACAAGAAATATAAGAATTGTTATTTTCATCGTAGAGTGATTGGCATAAGCGCTTCTCGTTATTAATTTATATCGCTTCCCTTTGCGTTATGCTTTATTGAATAACACCAAGGAACGATTTTTGGTAATACTCACATGATATGAAAATTTATATTGCGTTATATCGAAACTATGTTACATCCAGTCTTGTTATTTGCATAACATATGCCATAAAATAGTACAAATGTGCAAATTTCTATTTAACATAAATTGCACGCAAAATAATACATGTAAACAAAAATTTTATTAACATACTTTTTACGATACGTGTTTTGATGTTGAAAATAAACTAAATGTTCAAATTATATAAAAATATGGATAATTTAGAGTAACTTAAGCATTTCAGGTGCATTTCAAAGTTTGCCAATTTTATTTCCCTTCGTAAAATGTAATAAATAACGACATACATATAGTAAATAGTATAGTAGAATTAGATTTGAAAAATGAAATGTTATTTTATAATTCCTGCTTAATTTGTTGATACTAAATAATTTTACGAGTCTTGTTTAATCTAGAAGACAAGTTATACTACTCTGCACTTTTAAAATATTCTTCTCAGCAAAATACAAATATTCAAGTACAACAAGTTCTTAAAGAAAACGCACATTTCTTAATTATTAAGAATTTGGAAAGTTACATTAAAGATACATGTTAGTTTAACTTTTTCCTCTGCACTGAATATATATTCTCCAAATAAATTTTGCTCATTTTTCACAAAGTAAACAAAGTTCTTATCTATACTATTGAAATTATTCCCAGTAGATTGGTGTATATAGTGCACTTTACAAATTAAAATCGCAGCCTGGTTTAATAGCTGAATTAATGGTGCAGTGTTTAAAGAAAAAAGATAATTTTCATATTTTAATAATGTAAATGTTTCGGATGCATAGTTTAATTATTTAAAAATAAGAAAACATTGAAATTCAAATTGTCACGTTTCTAAATATAGATCAATGTAAATGACACAAAATTATTGCAAAAAGTGACAATATAGGAGCATTGTCGTATACATATTTTCTTTTATTATCCTTCTAATCTACGAATAACTAACAGTTATCGATGATTTTCATTATTCGAGGACAATGATAGATTCTGCACATATAAATACTAATATGATTCTTAGCTATCTTAAAACCTAGTGTGATATCTTGTTGCATTGTACCAGATGACATCCTTTTTCGAAACAGCTTAATCATAGACCAGTTCAGCAACATTTGTTTTTCTGTCTGCATTTGCAGATAATTTTAACAAAAATCTATAAGCTTAACATTACTTAACATTACTGTTACGTGATATATATCATATATTAATAATATAATGTACTCTAATAGATATGACCTATCTTATTAATACAAATTGTGTACATTACGCCAAACCATCATTGATTAAGACAATTATGAAGTATATGGGTGTTTTAATTGGTCACTTGTGGTATATATAAATTAATGCAAGTAAATTTAAAATATCAAAAAAAGTGTTGAATCTGCTAAAAGATGTATACAGTGCATTCTCACAAGATTTGGATTTGTGTAACTAGGCAAAATTATTATCATGCCTTCACCATTCTTGTGTGGAATATCGCAGTACAATGAATATCAGAAATTTTGTTACAATTTTTATATAATAAATTGATAGCTTTGTGTCATTATTTTTAACGACTACAGTCATCTACGCTGATCTGCTCTACGTTTGCCTGTGTTCAACGGATTACCAAGCTTCAAGTACTTATTGGTAAAATTTTTAAACTTTTATACTTAAAAATCGAAGTCTCGATTATAATTTCGTTTCATTTTCCCCTTTTTTTAAATTTCATCTTATTTTGTATCGTAAAATCATTTCCCAAAATTCTTTCGCTCGCTCTCTTCTGCCGAGCATCCTGAAACATCTTGAAAGATTTCGCTGTTATGTTCTATGTCACTTTAAATACCATACGTGTTAAATTTGTTTTTCATTTATTCTGCTGGACATGCAAACTTCGCTGTTTACAATTTTCGTAAATGTCACCGTATATAATTTACCGCAGTATTATAATAAATGTATATAATACACACAAAATGTCACCTAAAGCTAGAACTTAGAATATTTGCGTTGTTTTCAGTGGTACGAAGAATATGTAAAATGAAATCAATTTGAAGCAAGCAATTATTAATATGAACAAATTTTTGCTCGGAGTCTTATTTTTCAAGATTTCTGGTCATTTCGCGATAATAACGATTTAATTTGATCAAATCGGAGGATGTATTTTTGTTATTGTAATATTGTAGTCATCGAGAGCTTATTTCGTCTATTTATCACATGTTGATTTCTAATTAATAAATAAAACCTACATTTAATATAATTTGTATAACTTTCCTTTATCTTAAAAAATTGTCGATAATTGGAAAATCAGTAATGATATGTATCGTAGAATGAATGATTTTATTCGCATTTTATCAAATAATATTTTAAGTTCTAATCTTAGGTGATCCAGCTAATATACAAGAATGCCCACTTGAGTCCCTAGCTCGGGACTGATTCGCGACATTTACCTGAGAAGTTAGGTGTTCAAGGAATTGACGGCCCTCAACTCTGTCTAACTGGACTGCCATCAGAACGCGTCCATGATAACAGAGTAAGAAATAGCTAAAACGTGTGAAATACAATCAAATATTCAACTCTGTGGTATCATTTGATGAAGTGGTGGGGGTAACTCCACGACACTTAGGCGGATTTCGCAACAGTTAAGCTAGCAGTGTATATGCGTGCAATATAATATGTCTACAGTGGGTGTTTAGTGTTAACGTGTAATATGCATCAGAAACACTATGCTCCTTAAATTAGGGTAGTAATGGAATATATTCGAAAATTAAAATCCATAGTTTAACGGAGTTTAAGGAACTTCATGTTGAATAAAAAAGTATGTCAACGATGTTGTCCCTTAAAATTTACTTGTAACAATTTAAGATCAGAGCGTACATGTGTTAATATACTACTCAGCTGGTAAAAAAGAAAAAAAAAAAAGAAATACGTTGAGAATTATAGAGTTTGTAACTCGTCAACATTTTTGTAGTAAGGAAACATGGAAGCAAGGTAACCAGCTTCGAAATTTCTGCTACAGTTGCTTACCAGCATGCATGCAATTTTCTGCTCTACCCTTTATTTCTCTTTATTTCTACAATCGCGCGAGATAAGACAAAAACACACGAGACGATTTTTAATAAACCGCGCATTTACCACGGTAGTTCCGATGTGTTACACAGATGTCGGGAGCGTTGTTGTACCAGCTTTGTTCTATTTCCAATGGGAGTTTGCACACTCTGT